AACAAATCATTGATCAAGGAAGACACACAACTAATTTGGAACTCAAACTGTGCTTGAATCAATCTGACTTTAATAAACGTTAAAACAAAGTCGCATGAATGTTTGTTTGAACTTGGTCATGCACATTCATACTGTAATCCTCCAGTAGTCGGTGTATTGCAGATAAACTCTCCAATAGTTAACAACTAATGTTCGCCCTCCAATAGTTATCAACTAATGTTCGCCCTCCAATAGTTATCAACTAATGTGCACCCTCCAATAGTTCTAAACTCCATCACCCGATCATGTCAGTCGAACCGTGTTTGTGATCTTTGATAGACAAAACGTAGAAACGCACCCGCTCAATCAGTTAAGGAACTACGCTCCCCATTGGTTTGCATGTACCAGTCGACGTTCGCACGTTACCCTGCAACACATAACCTGGTTTTGCAGGCTTTTCTTCTGAAATGTAATATGCCGTCGTGATATAACTGAAATTCTGTATTTAAAAAGGGCGCTTGACTCCGAAAACAAGAACCGTCCTGTATATGTGTTAACACTATAAAACTACCATGATTTCCGACATCTGAGGCAAATGAAACGGAGACACATTAGAAATAAATTTATTTCAGAAAGACGACGGCAAAGTTGCCGAATCTGGTAATACGAGTTTCATTGATTTTTGTGCTGCACTCTCGGCTGTAGTTGATTCAGTTACTGCGAGAGTTGATGTTTCATCCAGAAACGCTGTAGGTTGGTTGGTTGGTTTGTTGTTTTACGCCGCACTCAGCAATATATTTCAGCTATATGACGGCGGTCTGAAAATAATCGAGTCTGGACCAGACGATCCAGTGATTGATATCCTGACAACTCGATCCCGTTAGCCGCCTTTTACGACAAGCATAGTCGCCTTTTACAGCAAGCATGGGTTGCTGAAGACCTATACTACCCCGGATCTTCACAGGTCACCGCTGTAGCTGTCAACATTGCCTCAGCCGATGTAGAGGCAGTGGATGTCAACGTTTTCGAAGTTGAGATAGCAGGACCAGAGGCGGCAGATCCCAAAAGGGCACTAAACCCCAAATACAGGAACCGTCCTGTATTTGTGTTAATACTAAAACTACCATGATTTCTGACAGAAACAACATTTGCCTGTCTTTTCTAAATGCCAATACCCTGCTTAGCTAATGACTTCTTTCGAGCATCCAAGACGTTTCTCATCCCCTTGAAATAAGGAGACTCGTTAACGTTAATCTCGATATCATGTCTTCGGCGATAGTATTGCGATGAGGCGATCGCGATCAGTTCATATAACGTATTTCCCCGATATTTTTCGCCCTTTAGGTTTCGTACTTCCACCAAGAAACGCATGAGATTTTTTATTAATATCTGTTTCACGATGCGAAAGAGCAATACTGTCGGGGTTTAACACGACGTCATCACGTAACCCATGGGATTGTCTTTCCTTGACCCGCGCTTGGAAGACGTCGACGGCTTATCTACTCTTGTTTTCTGTGTTCTGAGAAAAAGCCGAATTACAATTTAGACTTTGAAGATCTTGCTCTGACACAGGCTTGCTAAACGGTTAGGAATTCCAAATACTATCTGCGTCATCAATGTTATGAGTTGTAACGGGAATTTGTATGGCCTGGGGAATACTTGCTTCTACGTGTTGAGAGAGTTCCACCAAATATGTATCATTTCCAGACAACTCATCTGATTCCAAGATATCACTTTTACCCACATCAAAATCTGGTACAGCCACGTCAAAAGTATTTCAATATGAGCATTAATGAGTCTTTCAAAATCTGAGTTAATTGCTGCCTGGTTCGAGCTCGTGTAATGAATGTTCATCACGTACAAAGACTGAAAGCTAAATGAGAAATCGCACGTGCTTTTCCGCGCTCATATTAGACGAGACCTCCAATAGTTTTGCTCGAACTTTAGCGCGTTCATGCGCGCAGTTTCAATCGATTCAACATAAACAAGAACGACCCTCCATTATATATGCACGTGCATATTGGGTGGACATTAGTTTAACATGTATTTTGAATGGGACTTTGTTTTAAGTTGGATATAGTCCTCAAAGTCACGATTATTTTTGCACGTGGGGCAAGTTCTCGGCCTGACGGCCTCGAACTGACCCCACGTGCAAAAATAATCGTGACTTTTCGGACCATATCCTACACTGATGCATCCCTGTGTGATCACGTGACCCACCATTTGCTGAAAATCACGTTTTCTCGTGAAAATGCATAAAATGCAGCTGTTCTGTTTCTCGAAGCTGGTGTGTCAACACGTCAATCGGCCAGAAGGTCTAATTGTCACAATTCAACAATCGTCATGTTATCACAGCGCCTACGACAAACTGGAACAACACGTGATCAACCACGCCCAGGACAACCAAGTGTCACGACCCCGGCCAAAGATCGTCACATCGTCTTTGCTCATTTAAGGAACAGGGTCGGGGGTTCGAACATGAACCTCGACACTGTACACATAGGGGCTGTGTTACAGAGTGGAGAAAAACATTCGGTCATCCAGCCGAATAACCGGGTTCGGCTCCCAATTAGGGAACAATGTGTGAGGCCCATTTCTGGTGACTGATTTAGATTGATTATATCACGGCGTGTCAGCTTAATGTGGGAGGAAAGCCCGAAGTGATGCAGGTCTCAGACGGTTACCACTTCGGTGAAACCCACGAGCACGGGTATGGTGCTGACAAACCTAGAAACATAATCAGGGCGAACGGGGATTCGAACCCACAATCATAAGTGTCTGGTGCCCGTAATGGACGCAACTCTGCACAGTGAATTGCGGCGCATTAGACGACAGGGCCACCCGTGCCCCGGTTACTTACCCGTGCTGTCAGCACATACCCGTGCTCGTGGGTTTCACCGAAGAGGTAAACGTCCGAGACCTGCATCACTTCGGGCTTTCCTCCCACATTAAGCTGACACGCTGACAGTTATTCCCTCACTCACCATAAAATGTATCGCCAAAACGCATCCCACTGTGACAGTACACTTGAAACAAAGTTATGTGTCAGTATTTTAGTGTCATGTCATGTTGATTATCACCAGGAGGTGGTTGGTTTGTTGTTTAACGCCGCACTCAGCAACATTCCAGCTGTATGACGGTCTGTAAATAATCGAGTCTGGACCAGACAATCCAGTGGTTAATATCATGAGCAGTATCAACAGCAGTATCAACACACCAAACACTGTCCTTCGTGTAGTGGAGGGTGCAGTTAGATTACCTTGTATTTACTTACCTTTCCTGGGCCCGAAGAATATTAAGTTATATATATTAAGTATTTTGCAGGAAATATGGACAGTTTCAGAAATGAAACTATGTGAATAATAACTCATTTTATTACCCATAGGGTTAGAAATAACCGAATTCACAAAAGGCGTATGTGCATAAATGCAAATATCACTTCACACGCCCCAGTGTATTGTTCACGTCATCAGGATGGCATTGTTAACGTCATTCGAATCTTATTATGAGGCAAGATCGGAATGACGTCACACTGGAAACGACGTCATAGCTTAAGATTGTTGACGTCATTCGTATAATAATCTCTATATCGCATATGTAAAAAAGTATTAACCATTGTACTGCCTATAATAACTCAATGTTATAAACTGATATATTCATTTCCATACATGTCAATACCAAGGCAGATGTACCGATGACAGTGCCAGACATATCGATAGATACATGCATTAATGTGTTGGGTTTAACACCACTTTGAACAGTATTCGAGTCATATCACGGCATGTCAGCTTACTGTAAGAGGAGGTGAGGTGAGGTGAAATTGGGTTTAACGTCGCGTCCAAGATTATTGCACTTATATAGCGACGTGCATGTACGTGTGTGTGTGTGTGTGTGTGGCTGCTTGTACTAGTCCGGACTGATGCCGATTTACAGTGCTAGCTCACTGAGATACCATGCCGCAGTTTAACATGAATACCCACTCAGACACAGTATACTGACTCCGAGCCGACCGGTCCTTGTTTTAGCCCCTTAATGCCGAGCGTCAGACAGGGTAACAACAAGGACCATCTTTTAACGTCTTTTGGTATGACGCGGCCGGGGATCGAGCCCCGAACCTTCCGCTCTCCGGGCGGACGCTCTTCCACTAGACCACGGAGGCGGTCTAATGTAGGAGGAAAGCTAGAAGTAATGCAGGTCTTAGACGTTCACGACTTTGATGATACCACGAGCACAGGTATGGTGCTGACAAACCTATAAAACACAATCGGGGCGAACCAAGATTCGAACCCAGGATCATAGGTTTCTGTCGTGCACCGAGAGATACAAAGACAGACCGAAAAACAGACATACCGACAACTTACTTCAGGGGAGCCTTTTTTCAAATATGTTTATTTTTACTCTTTGTGATGCCTCAAAAAGTTCTGAAATACTTTCACAGAATCAGCGTTGAATAGATCACTCCTACTTACATAAAAATAGGATAATTTGATCCTTCAAAACAAAACTCATCAGTAACAAGTTCCACCTGGTCTTCAAATGTTTCGTTCACAATGACAAATGCACGTGCATCTCCGGCACTCTCAACCAGATTTACCTCCAATACTTTTGACCGACCATGTTGTGTTTGCGCGCTCTGTTCCTATCTTTTCCATGTTTGAAGAACCAACCTCCAATAGTCTACCCCGCACTTTACGGCGACTTTGTTTTAAGTTGGATATTGTTCTCAAAGTCACGATTAGTTAAAACCCACGTTAAAAGTAATCGCGACTTTTCGGACTATATCACACACATGGAAGAGATTACCACTTGAAGAACGTATTTTTTTTAAACTAACAATGAGCTTGATTCAATCGCTAAAACGCACGAATGTGTGTCTTCATCTGTACACATAGTTCAGCGCGTTACATACAAAATACTCGATCGAAGTATTACGGTTTATGAGGTAATTATGAGTTAAGTTCAACTGCCTAAACGCAACCCCGTGCAATACGTGCAGCACGAGATGTCTTCTGAGGTATATAAGAGCTCGCAGACCACATTCAATGACAGGTACCGAGTTGGAGCTAAAAATCTGCGTGGCAAGTAAGTATTAGTTTGGGAATAGTTTTCTGAGGTTCCAAAAGCACCATGTAAAAATTGAGAGACTTTCGTTTTTAAATGATAATGAGTTAATACATTTCGTTCTGTTAATACATCCATGCAATTAATGTTTTTAGTTTGGCCATTTCTTTTGCAGGCTAAAGGTGAAAAATGGCAGGTTGTATGGCTGTTTTGGCTATTCTTGGCTTCATTGTAAGTACACAACGTGGGGGTGGGGATGGGGGTGGGGGTGGGGGTGGGGGTGGGGGTAAGGGTTAGAAAGGGTTAGAAAGGGTAAGTGCATAAATTGCTGTATGTGTGACATAGCGTCCTCGTCGTACCCGACGTCGTTGCTCATGGTGTAGACCTGCTTTGTCTAGCCAGAGCCAGGGTATCTTTAGAAGCTACCATAATATAGCTGGAATATCGCGGCGTAAAGTAACGTTCACTCCATCATGCAATGAATTGGAAAATGGAAGCGTTGCTCGAGTGCACTTATCAAAAATCGACAACATGATTCATTTGATCGGCCATTACACAATACTTTAAATCTGTCCGGTTTGTGCTGTGCTTCTAAAACGCATTGTAACGCATTGGCTGCTCTTTAACATGTAAGTTCATTCCTAAACTTTAGGCAACTGTAACGCAGTATTTTTCTGCATATTGATTTCTCAACATCGTATTTTCCAGGCTGCCGCCCAGGCTACTGTACCTCCAGGATATATATTGGACAGTGAGTATTTCCATTTTCTTGCGACGTAGTTTTTGTTTCTTTTGTGTATTTTTCACGGTCTATAAAATTTTTATCTTAAAAGCCATAGATATTAGCTGTACCATTATACTCCCTGGGGACATGAGAATTACATTCCCCTGCACGCTGATACCTTCGTAATGTTTTCAGCATCTTCAGTGGTTTGGGCTAATAATGATACTAATAATACCCTCCGACCTAGAAGTGGAGGGGATAGTTATAACAATGAATTCCATCCGTCCGAGGGCAGTGACAAGTCTGATTTTGATTTTTCTTAATACAGCCTTTTGTTTTGACTTAGAATTTACTTAAACATTTGTAACTTGAAAGCTGCTGCATAGATTCGTTTCAAATTTAGCGAACAATTTTCATACAGAAGGCGGTGCAAACTTTGAATTTTTAGTCCGTTTTTGTTTTTTATAGATTTTTAAAAAAAAAAGAGAACATTGCGTTTTGTTTTCATGTCTTGAGCTTAGAAATATGTTGGCGTCGAAGTCGGCTCACTTGCCTTGTTATAAATATATTGTTAGGACCCAAGATTTGGTCTCTAGCACCAAATCGGCCAGGTCACACATTCTGACGCTTTAAAATGGTATTAGGTACAAATTGATGTAACCGTGATTAGTCTGTGAATTATTGCTAAAAACGACATGGGATATTTACGAGCCTTCCTAGTATCTACAACGAGGTAATTAAACCGCTTTAATCTACAGGATTCCTCCAACGTAGGGTTCCAGGGTATATTGTCGTGCCCAGCAGTGTGGCGTTAAACGAGTGTATGCTTGCTTGTGTTTCTAGTTACACCTGAGTGTGGGACCAATGGCATTGCCGACGGCGTGGTACGCCTGATGACAGACTATGATGCCGAGGCTAAGGCTGATTGTGGGGGCAACAAGGCAGTGAGCTTTAGCACGACTGATGGCGTGTTCTTCACTCTGCCCGTGTCCTACCCAGTCACTGGCGGGGGGTCGTCTGCATGCAAATTTGTGGCAAGTATCTCAGTTATTCCAGTTATATCGCGGCGTGTCGGCTTAATGTGGGATCACAATCATAGGTTTCTGGGGACGCAACTCTGCACTGCGAGTCGCGGCGCCTCAGACGACTAGGCCATCCGTGCCCCCGGCAAGTATCCGAGGCAGTTTGGCAGGATATTCGTTTTAACACGGGTCTACATATGTTTTTATATATTCCTGAGTTCAGTAATTGATGCCAACACAAATTAGATAACGGCTTTGTTATTATCGTGGCCGGCAACACATAGGCCGGTCTGTCTGTAATAACGCTTTAGAGACTGGACGGTTGACCACTGAGGCATTGTATTGTGGATGGAGGGGATGGGGAAACGGAAACAATGAAGCTTATCTGGATGTGAGCTGTACAGTCAGTACATTTGAAATGGGGCGTGCACACAATTCAACACGTCAAAATCAAATGTTACGTTAATGTGTATTGTTTCAAACGTGTATTTGGTAGACGAGGCTAGGAACCCATGACCTGTCATTTTACTGTCTAAAACAGTGTTCCTTGATCATTTCCATCAGGAGTGAGTTAAAATGTAACGTCGCATCGGCATTATTTCAGCCATATAGCGAGCCATCAGTATATATTGCCACACGATACATGGCAGTCTTACGGTGATTCTTCGCCTTTGGCAAGCTCCTTCCCAGCGCGTGACACCTTCGTTACACTGCCACCAGTGTGGGCGCGGCCATTACAAGAATCTTGAAATTTGCCCTCTAACCCCATATTAGTAACGTTTATACTTTTGTTTATGTCTTTGAGAATGCCATCATATTTCATTTTGAAAAGGTTTACGACTGACCATGTTTTCCAGATGAATTTACTTTGTTTTAATAATCAGATTGGTTCGAGATTGCAGACTTACGGAAAATCAACCAACTTCTTCTACCTTACATTCTTACTATATCAATTAAAGATGATAATTTTAATGAAATAGAAATTCAAATTGACAAAGAAAGTGATTTATCAGCGGTAAGTGTATTCGGCGTCACGACAGTCGTCACTTGTTTGGAAACATAACGGTCATTCGGTTGCGAGTTCAACTCCAAGCATGGTTGGGGCCACTTATCACAGTGGGGAGTTTTGACTGGTGGCAGCGATAGTATAGAGAGCTCCCCGGACGGACTATCGCTGTGAGGAGCTTGCGCCTTTGGGTTAAATGTAAACTGTTTCCGGTTAGTCGGTGACTTGACTCTCGAACAGCGGTTCTTACTAACGCCACCAAGATGTCGCCTGGCCAATACGGTTCTATTATCATAGGTGTATTGACGCCAAGAATATCGGTAAATTCAAACATGGAGACCCGTGAAGATCCAGGTACAGAACAAGTCTTGCCATGATGGCCGTAAGTCGACTAACGGGATCGGGTGGTGAGGCTCGCTGACTGGTTTTTTGGATGTCATCGTCTCTCAATTATATAGATTGTTGCGCATGTCAGTCACTGGATTGTCTGGTCCACATTCGATTATTTACAGAGGTGGAAATAGTGCGGCGTTTCCCCAGTTTCCTGACGAGTGAAACGTTGCCACTTTTAGGCCGCCATGACACAAGCCTTGTTTTGTTTTCAGAAAAAGAAAGACGCTTTTGTGTACACAATTTTGGTGACGGTGGCATTCGGCAGTCCCGGGAGCCGGCTCCATCAGGTGGATGAACGCTACACCATCACGTGTTCCTTCCAGCCAGGAGGCATCAAGAAAAGCGCCCCTCTGACGATTAAGGCAGGGTAGGTTGCTCGGAAGGCATCCAATGTACAGAAGCCTCACGAGGGCCCCTTTTCTTTATTTCTTGAAATTTCAAGTTGCTTAATCCCCCATTTTTAAAGCACGAAAACGCATTTTTATAACCATTCGCGTGTTGGCATTTCAACATGGATCTTTTTCAAGAAGGGAAAACTAATGTCTTAATGGTGTTCCTAAGCAAAGGCGACTAACGGGATCGGGTGTTCAGGCTCGCTGACTTGGTCGAAGCATGTCATCGATTCCAATTGTGTGGATCCATGCTAATGTCAATCACTGCATTGTGGTCCAGATTCGCTAATTTACAGACCGCCGTCATGTATCTGGAATATTGCCGAGTGCGGCGTTAAGACAACCAACCTGAAGACTCGCGTTGAAAAGTAAATGCAACAGAATCTTCATGCATTTTGCCAGTGTGGTTAATACTTACAACCTTGCTCCTTTTCAGGGCCACTGCTCCAAAGGTCATTGAAGGAAATACGCCCCCGAAGAGCCCCTCTGTCATTTATCTGTACCTGATCAACGTCATTGGGAAGAAGCTCACGGGTGCAGTGTCTGCAGGCAGAAGTGTCCGCCTCAAGGCCGTTACTCTCGGTAAGTATTCACATGTCCAGCGACTACACTCGCCGAGGTTTAGACTACCTTGTTAAAACCTGCGCTAAAACAAGGACTAGTCGGCTCGGAGTCAGTATACTGTGTCTGAGTGGGTTATTCATGTTATACTGCGGTATGGTATCTCGGTGTGCTAGCACTATAAATTGGCATCAGTCCGGACTAGTACAAGCAGCCAAACACATACACGTCGCTATATAAGTGCAATAATCTTGGACGCGACGTTAAACCCCATTTCACCTCGCCTCAAACTGGGTATTGTCTTGGCGACTACTTTCTGTTTGTCTTGTCCGTAAATTGCTCGGTACCGCCTGCGTGCGAAGACTAACACCACCAGACCAAATAGCATGGAAAGAATGTAAGACGGTTTGACAGCATGTGGTAGGCGATATTATCATTTTCCGTAATATACAGAATTTGTCTTTTTTTTTGTAGGACCTGCTGACAAAGGTATCCGACCTGAATCATGCGATGCTATCAATTCCAAAGGCGCCCGATTCTCTATTTTAAGATCGGGGTGAGTTTATGTATTTTCTTTACTTAATTGCCTTCTCACTTTAATTCTACCTTGTGTAAAGATTAATGTACAAACAAATGGGCATATATAGGAGCCCAGTCTACGAGCCAATCATTAAATTTGCAATTGTCTGAAGACTTGTCTCGCACCATAACAGTATGTTCGCTTGTGCATCGAACCTCCATTACTCTTGGATATCAGTAGTCTGCATATATTGACAACATGTATAGTATTCGCATTATATATATATATATATATACTGAACCGCAAAAGAAACGTCACCCCAAGTAACATTGCATGAAAAGTTGTCATTTCAATATCTGGATATTTTTTGTCAAAGTTCCTAAAATTTAACATTACCTTGTCCGGGGAAAAATGAAATTTGATGATAAAAAAACCCCAAAGCAGATGACGATAAAACCGATCGCCCAAACGCATCACGGCCATGGTAACCCGATGCACATGTGTTCCGTGCAAATTGAAATGCACATGCGTTCCCACATTTTTTGCCCAATAAAAAAAATCCACCCAGATCGGATAACGTCAGCATCTTCAAGATTGCTTTGTCACTGCTGCGGAAACTGCTCGACAGACCATGGGACACACCAGTGACACATTAGTGCGGTCACCGTGCGTCGACGATGACGTGCAGACACCTCCACTGTCACAGGCCACACAGTGCATTCGCGCCACCGGCAGTGGAGAAGAGTCGTCTCCTCAGACGACAGCCGTTACTGTATCTCAACAGCAGATGTCCGTTTCTATCCGGTTCGTCCCGATACTTTCAATGTTTGCCAGCAACAGTGTTAAACGTCAGTTTGGTACTTTCACGCGCAGAACCCTCATTAAACGCCTGACCTCGGGTATACAACCAAGTTGTGGCCAGGTAAGCTGCAGCGCCCTTGTATGTATGTTTCAGGTGTGGCGACGGCATGGTCATTAAGCAGACGAAAGGTTTCAAAACCGTTGGCAAGGTGGCCTACAGCGCTTTCTTCAAACTGTTTACTGTTAACGGGGATCCCAAACTGAGTATTGAATGCAACTTTACCGTCTGCGCCAAAAAATGCAATGGGGTAAGAGCTTAACCGCGCAAACAGACATGAAACCAAACTTATTCTGCTCTAATTTCTTGGCTTCTGGCTTGGTCTTCAGCAACCCGTGTTTGCCGCGCAACAGGCGACTAACGTTTGGTTTGTTTAACCCCGCACTCGGCAATATTCCCGCTATATGATGGCGGTCACAGACAATCCATTGAGTTACATCATGAGCATCGATCCACGCGATTGGGATACGATGACTTGCATCAACCAAGTCGGCGAGCCTGACCACCCGATCCCGTTAATCGCCTCTTACGAAAAGCATGGTCGCCCTTAAGGCAAGCATGGGTTGCTGAGGACCTATTCTACCCCGGATCTCCACGGGTCAGGCGAGTAACGAAATCGGGTGGTCAGGCTCGCTGACTTGCTTGATGCATGTCATCGTATCCCAATGCGTAGACCGATGCTCAGGTCAGTTACTGGAATGTGGTCCACTCGATTTTTTTCATATAACTAGAATATTGCCGAGTGCGGCGTTAATCAACAAAGAAAAATTGGCCTCTTTCCGTTTATGAAATAACCAATTTAGAATTTTTTAGGCTGTCGGTGCTCTAACAGGTGTTGTACAAATTCCTTGTAATGTTTGCTTGGCTATTACAGCTATCCTGTACTCGTAATACCTCAACTTCTCCCGAACAAACACACTAAAATATTGACTGCATCCTTAAACACATGTTGCATTTTTTAATACTCGTTCTGTTTTGCCTTTCAGCCGTCATGTCATTTTGAATGGCGTAAACGCAGGGAACAGCCAGGTAATTTATAAAAACCCGGATAATTCGGGATTTTATTTTTTTCATAAAATGCTCTTAATCCTCCGGTCAAGTGAAATTTAAGCGGCACAATTTATCAAGTTATAACTTGGCCACCCGAGTACATCCGGCTTATAATGGTGTCCAGCAACCCATGGTTGTCATAAGATGCGACTAACGGGATCAGATAGTCGGGCTCGCTGACTTGGTTGTCGCATGTAATCGAATCCCAAGTGTGGGATTGATGCTCATGTCAATCACTGGAATTTCTGGTCCAGACTCGATAATTATTCAGACTTGTCTGAGAATATTACGAGGGCGGCTATAAACATTAAAACAGGGCTTGGCTGCCCGTGTGGTGACTAGGTGCAAGTTATCTGGTCTTTTTTAATGCCGGGGAACGTCTCACTGACCCCAACTGTTTATGTATTTAACAGGTGACGGTACACGAAGTTTTCTCTGGAAATCCGCCGGCCATGCCGCGACGGACATGTACACGCTGAACGGCGTTGCGGTGGACGTACCTGCTGCACAACCCGAAGCTCCTCGGTTAAGTGTCAGACGCAACCAGTAAATCCTGTACCGTTAGATGGTGGTGGTTCATCAATAAAAATAATAAAATCAATTTACCTCTTCATGGTTTTTGATATTTGAGCCATTTAAAATACGTGAACATTAAGAGCACGTCTTTCAACCAGGGACCAGAAACTGGACATCACTAGATCTAGAGGAACAATTCACTCTTGGCAGGGCTGGAATTGTGTGCTCGCATTGAAATCGCTTGAGGTACAAGTAATAAAACTAGTTTAACTGCCTTCTGCTTTCACAACGGCGCTTCATTGGCACTTGACCTTGAAGATATGGGGTAGAATAGGTCTTCACCAACCCATGCTTGCCGTAAACGGCGACTATGCTTGTGAGAGGCGACAAACGGGATCGGGTGGTCGGGCTCACTGACTTGGTTGAAGCATGTCATTTATCCCAATTGCGTGGATCGATGGTCAGGATGTCAATCACTGGATTGTCTAGACTCGCTTATTTACAGACCATCGTCATGTAGCTTGAATATTTCTGAGTGCGGCGTTAAACAACAAACAAATCCAAGTACAATGATGGCAACACCTGGGTACTCTTCCAGAGTACCCAATTAAAAAAATATAGCATTTTTGTCATACCAGGTCGATCTCTCCGGCTAGATTATATGTAAAAAAAAAAAATTGGAGGTTCAGTGACATAGAACCGAGTCTGGCAATGTTCTATTCAGTCGCTCGCTGTTGTGAAATGTGTCGAATATTGGCTCTTTTTATAATATACAGGCATTTCGTTTACCCCCAAAAATGTTACAATATGTTGCGGTTGTTAGATGAACAAGGCCACGTAAATTGGGTAACGAAACTTAAAACTGTATTTTCAGATTAGGATTTGGTGATGTCTGGTACTTTCAAACATGTGGTAATAAAACTGCATTTTTAAATCTGTTACGCCAGCGGTTAAAATGCGAAAGGGACACTGTATAATATGACTTATTTACGTTACTACCTTGCTTCCATGGAAACGGAAAGGGCATCTGCAGAGCTGATTAATCGATATTCAGAGATTTGGTATTTAAATTTGATATTTAGATAGTGTATTTCAGGACTCAACCGATTTGGTTTTCTTACCATCATAAGCAATATAACCGAGGCATATGACTGGTCGAAATTTATTTATTCGATTTCGTTAAAAAGGATATTTAGATATATTTTTGCACACAAAGCACATTTTATTATAATACCAACGGAATGGAGTCCTCTGATTGGTCGAAATTTAGATAGTTAACCCTATTTAAGACTATTTTAACCATACTAATAAGAGCTCTTTATGAAACTGCATGTAGGTGTGGATGATCAGCACAACATAGTCATATAACCTCATTCAGAAATCCAAGATGGTCTCACAGCCGCCATTTTGTAATTTACAGGTCTCAAACATCTTAATGAGTAAATATCTATTTATGAATTCCTTTTGAAAACCCTCGTGAATATCATTTCATTAGATTATTAGTTCATTGTACCACTGCAACGAAGTTAGGGGTTAAAATGGAACCACTTCATTTTTAGAGCACATTGCAATTGTTTTTGGTTTTTTTTCATTTTGGCGAAGTTATTGCCGTTTATTACTTCGTCATTTCAATTTGTCTGGACAACTTCTAAACTACTACATCGATTTCTTTCAGATATGTACGTGAGTGTAGCTAGGGACACTGTACGACCTGCCTTCATTAATTCCCCATAGGACAGTTCTAGTTAGCTTAATTTATATCCATACATGCAAGATGTCCGAGAGGCTTACGTGACGTATTGCCATCCGTCTTTGTACGGCAACGTCATCCATCATTCGAAATCTATTCACAATGCAATACGATTTATTTATAAAAAATGTCGAAATATAGCATTTACAGCTCACCTGGTACGAGCGGGTGAGTTGGGTTTAACGCCGCTTTTCACAGTATTCCAGTTATATCACGGCGTGTCAGCTTAATGTGGGAGGAAAGCCCGAAGTGATGCAGGTATCAGACGTTTACCACTTCGGTGAAACCCACGAGCACGGGTATGGTGCTGACAAACCTAGAAACATAATCGGGCGAACCGGGATTCGAACCCACAATCATAGGTTTCTGGCGTGCCCAAGGGACGCAACTCTGCAGAGCGAATCGCGGCGCCTTAGACGACTGGGCCACCCGTGCCCCCCACCTGGTACGAAGTTCCGTGGTGAGCTTATGTCAGCTCCCCCAAGAGATTGAATGGTCGGTTCCTAACTGACATGAAATACTATACAGGCTGTATGCCTAATGTTCTTTTTCGCTATTTTCAATCAACAATGGTCTTACGACAGGATAGGCTAAGTTGCTATAGAAAAGGTACAGAATTCATTTCCGAAAAATGTCAACTTTAAGTGGCTATATTTGAATCGGCACGGTACTTGGGAAATCTACGGTTTGTGTTTTTTACAACATCATTGCATTAGAATTCCTGTCGCTTGTAACAGCATATGATTCTGGTGTATGCTTAACTGTCATATCCGTAATACTGCAACAAAATGTCCATTATTTTATGCCTAAAACTCTGTTAATGGAGGGGCGGTCGGGTAGCCTAGTGGTTAAAGCGTTCGCTCGTCACGCCAAAGACCCGGGTTCGATTCCCGATATGGGTACAATGTGTGAAGCCCATTTCTGGTGTCCCCCGCCGTGATATTGCTGGAATATTGCTAAAAGCGGCGTAAAACTATACTCACTCACTCACTCTGTTAATGGACCATTCTAACAACCCACTATCATCTACAACTTGGTCTGATCTGCTTGGCCTGAGTCCTCCTTTCCGTCGTTACGGTATTAGAATAGGAATGAGGTCACCTTGTATGGAAAAATAGCCTTTGTAAAACAGTAAGTTTGATCAAAATTGGTTATGTAGCCTGAATATAACAACCACGTGGTCGTTGTAGAGAGGGAATCTAAAAATGATTAGTCATTTGCACATCTAGACAAAGTAACGATCAATTAAATCTGCGAAGTTTCAGGAAAGTTCGATAAGTATTATTTCATAGTGATAACCCTTAATGTTATCTGATAAAATATTATCTATCACATCAACCCTTAATGTAAAACTGTTTACATTAAGAGTTCTTTTTACATTAAGAGTTGTAACAAAGGTGAATTCGCAACTCTTAATATAAAATATTTTTACATTAAGAGTATGTTCTTTACATTAATGGTTGTTACAAGAGTTAACGCGCAACTCTTTTATAATTTTTTACATTAAGAGTAATTTTACACTAAGGGTTGTAACAGTGGTTCCTTCATTTCCGTATCTTTGCTCAAATCAAGCCTATGGGATATTGATACATTTTTGATAGAGCACGAAGATATGCATCACGTGACTGAGGGAATAAATTCTGATATGAATGTTGAGGAAATTACAAACTTAAGGCAATCGTGCAATAAGGCGAAAAGTGAATTGTCTAAGGAAGGAAAAACGTATTTACCAGAATAGCTGTAAATATTGTTTGACTACCTCTTATAGAAATGGGATATTCACAGCAATGTACACTTGGTATACTTCTTCCAATATATAACATGGCATATTCCCGGGGTAAGGGAGTTAACTGGCCATAAAAGTCCAGTTTCCACCCTTGTCGAAAAACGCTGGAATTTCCAGGCTCGACCGTAGCCCCACCAGTGGCTATTACGAGTTATGTCCCTTCTATGTCCCTTCTATTGACCAATCAGATTCTCCTTTCTCACATCACTTGCATTTGCTCCAAACAAAATGGCGGCGCCCAGTCAAGACGATCTCATCGATAATCAACATCCATATTGTAATAAAAGGGGCCCTAACTCGCGAAGGGCATTAAATCATTTGAATATCTTGATTAAAAACATGAAACGATTTGGAAAATATTTGTCGACGCCCAGTTGATTGTGCACATGTTTTGCAAATCCTGCAGTCGATCGAAATCTGCACGTTGAAATCCATGTTGTTCACGAATCGAATGTCCAGGTTCTCTCGTTGCGCGATTTTAATTGGACTATCCTTAGACTCGTTAGTCAAGTCAAAATGTAACTCCAGTATTCCAGCCTATATACTATACTAGTTCGGCAAGGGTGAAAAGTGGACATTTAAAGTCACTTAACTCCCTTGACTCGGGAAGATGATATCATGGAGTTGGAATTATTCCTGATAATTAGAGGCATTACGCTGATTCGTGTTATGAGTGAGCTATATACTTCAGCTTTAAATGGTAGACTCTCTATATGGCTTAAATGATATACATCTGAGGATAACATATCTGTGTTAAATGCCGTGCTCCATGTCGCGAATCTGTGCTCCAATGATCAGGGGTGTCTTAAAACAAGAATAAAGTAAACGTGTTAAAAAGGTTCACACGTTTATTACCAGCCGCTAATAGTATCAATGGACGTCAATATAAGGTATCAAAGAAACCCAATCTACTGACAATGAGAGCTGAATAATTAAATCAGAACAAATACACAAGCGGCTTAGCTAGGCAACTGTATTACAGTAATGAGACTAGCTTAAACAACGCTTTGACAAGATGCATAGACAGCTTATTAAGTCGGCTGCGACCCATTAACACTAATGAGTGAATTACTTCGGCTGGGTTGAATAGCGGGAAATAAACACAGAGCCTATCCCTAAAATATGTCAGCTGGACAATAAAATAGACGAGAACGTCCTAGTATTAAACTAAACTAATAGACTTAACGCTCAGGCACTTTTACTGACCAAGGAAATTTAATTTTCAGAAATATAACATAATCACGGGAAGGTTGGTTATCCACGGATTACTAGAAAAACGGAGTATTGAAAACCCATGTTACTGTTTTGTTTGTTTGTTGTTGAACGCCGCACTCAGCAATATTCCCCTATATGACGGCGGTCTGTGAATAATGGAGTCTGGACCAGACAATCCAGTGATTGACATCATGAGCATCGATCCACGCAATGGAGATCGATGACATGCATCAACCAAGTCAGCAAGCCTGACCACCCGATCCCGTTAGTCGCCTCTTACGACAAGCATAGTCACCGTTTACGGCAAGCACGGGTTGCTGAAGACCTATTCTAC